CATGATATATAAAATTTTAAAAATATTATTTCTCTTCCAACCATATTAGTCTCCACCTCCACCCCTTAACTTATTTTTCTTCAATTTAGAAAGTCCATCCCAAGAGCCTGCCTGCCTAGATCCTTTCTCAGACTATTTCTTGCCTCTATAATTTACACATTTATTTCACCTTCTCCCAGACTTATTTCACCTTCTCCCAGACTTCTGTTCTGACAATAACCAGGATGTTTGTGATGCGCTATAACTAACGTAAAAGCAGAATAATATTTGCTTGTAATATGAGGTTTTATTTTTTTTTAAATCAAGTGCTTTTAACCAGTAGATATAGAAAAATAGGAAATGGCTAGGTGGAGTGAAGTTGGAATTTTACTGAACTGAGAAAAGTAGGTTCAGAACTCTAGAATACTTGTTTTAGTTAATAGGCACTGTTTGTAGACTTGGGGAGAAAAATTGGAATCCCAGAGAGAGTTTAATTTATAACAGAAAGCATAGATGTTTTGTCTCATGCATTGAAGTTTCTGTATTTAGAACTATTTTGTGTTTTTAAATTAATAGGTTTGTTGGTTGCAATAGAGCATAAAATATCGTAAAATATCTGAATTCCATCACTATAATTATAATCTCATCATCAGGGTCCCAATTTCACAATGTCTCTGGACCCCCAAAGGTGATTTTGTATGACTGAAAGGTTTGTCATATTATAGTCTCAATATTGTGTTTCCTGTGGAGTCTTTTTATCAATGTACAAATCTAACATTAAAGTTTGCTTTCTAGTTTGCATATGTTAATTTCAGTCCCTACCCAACTCATTCCCCTAAGAGTAGCAAATACAAAGGAAGTTTCTAAGGCTTACTTGGGTTCCTTAGTCCCAAGTTGGACAAGTCCATCTAAGAAAATTAACTGTTTAGTGGTATTTCAACAGTCCAGGGGATTTTGCTGGAAGGAAGCATAGTTCCTGCAGGTTCCCACAGTATTCCTTATGTCTTCCTTATGCAGGATGCCTCCCGCTGTCCTTGCTACCTGCCTGGGTCTGCTCAGCACCAGGGCTAACATTAACTTAAGGCTATAAATCTAAGTCAAGAGGTCCATCAACCCCAGTGCTGGGTACCCCAGTTTGTGGGCTTGATTGCCATGGAGGTGACTGAAGGGATTGCATGGAAGTGACTGCTTACCACTGTCTCCCTTTGGATAGCATCTTCTCAGGTGGCCTCATGCAGCTAGAAAATATCAAGGTTTGCACCACCATGAGCACAGCACACTAAGGTGTGCTGCTCATGGCTTTTTCTCCTGTTTTGTTCAGCTGATATTTTCTTAGTTAAGGAGTTGGTGAAGTAGATTTCAGGAGGAGGCTTTCAGGTTTATCTTCTGTGCTCAGACTGGATAACTGATTCTGGAAAGTTGAACCTGGTCAGCAGATCCCCAGGATATCTCTCAGGCTCTTATCTCATTTTAGGGAAATTTCATTTAGTGGCTAATAGAAAGATGGCCTTCTGTTGTATATAACACCAAGGGACACTTCTCTTTAGGAGGGTACCGTGATAGTTGACTTGGGCTTGGGTACATATAGGATTTGGCTTCTCAGGTAAACATACAAGTAGGTGATAAACCCAATTCCCAGTTTTGGTTGGAAATAGATGTGTGACTGGGTAACTGCCACTAGATATGTGGTGTCATGTCTCGTCAGGACCCCTCTGACATCAAAGCTTCTGTCTCGAATGTTTCACAAATCTTTCCAAATTAATTCCATCCATTGATCCTTCCATCAGCATGCATCATCCCTCCCCATCCTATACCTAGATTAACCTTCTTGGACATCTTCTACAGTTTCTTTTCTAGGATCCAGTCTGTGGCTTAGTCAAAGTCTACCTCTGAGTACTGTGATTGTATTAATGTGTATAACTATATAGGTTTACAAATAAGTACTCACTGTGTGTGTAATAGGTGGGTAGGTCAGCAGACAGATACATGCATATATACATACATACATATGTATATCGAAGCAACAATACAAATATAGATGTATAGGCTAGCTAGATAAATTGATATAAGGATGGATGGATGGATGCATGGATAGATGGATGGATAGATAGATAGATAGACATGAATCAAGTAACTTGATTTTGCTTGAACCTATTTATTTATTTTTATTTTTTTTTCAGATTTTTTTTTAAAAGATTTATTTATTTATGCATACAAGAGCTGAGGTACAGGCCAGAGCTGTTGGGGCGGGGGAGGCTGTGAGAGGATTCAACAGAGACAGAGTGGGGAACAGAACAGACAGATTGACCAAAGTACACTGCTGAGGGGAGCAGCGGGTGAGTCAGGAGGGGTTTGCTGTGCTATGTGGGTTACTCCCTGCTGACTGGGGATCAAACTTGTGCTGCGGAGGTTGCGGATAGCCTCATAGGTTGCTTCTTAACCCCTTGTGCCACTAGGGAGGCCCGAACCTATTTCTTTGGGTACTTGAAATAAAGGTTTATAACAAGAAATTTGATGGATACTTTTTAAGTTAATTAAATGATAACATCACCATTTAACTGTCCACCTAATTCTAGCTCAGAGTTTACATATATTCTCAAATGGTCATCTATCAATAACATTCATTCATTCATTCAAAATATTTAATAAGTGCCACATGTGACTGGAAGAAGAGAGTAAGTTATGGTTCTAGCCCTCATGGAACAAAAGTCTAGTGGTAGAGATAGAGTGAGTCTAGTGAGACAGGTAGAGAAATAATTACAGTCCCATTAGATAAGTGCTATAATGGGGGCAGGCTTATTTATAAACCATGAAAGATCAAGTCCAGCAAGAGAATTAAGGGTTTACCTCCTAAATATCAGTAGACCCAGTCATGGCATAAATTTCATGGTTCAGATTGACATGCAAAAATCTGGAAACAACTATACTGATTTAGCAAGCAATGGAGGATTTGTAAATAAAGTCCATGGCTTTCTGTGATTTTTTGATTTTGGACTGATTTTTCTTAGTGGAGTCATCTACCTGAAACAGATGAATGCTGACTCTTTTGACTTGTCAATAATCTTAGTCTTTTCAACCCAGGAAACAATAACAAACATAGTATGTAGTAGAGAACAGTTTCATCTTCAGAAGAAATAAAATTACAAATGAAATAAATACCTTTCATGTTTATGTAACTTGACCATTCTTAATACCTTAAACTGTTCAGTAAGTTCAATATGGAAATATGGAAAAGAAACACATGGGAAATGATCCTAGAATATCAAATATACAGATTTTGATTGAAGCACGTTCTTAGGACAGGTATGGAGAGAATGGGAATTTAGGGAGAATCAGAAGGCGCTTTGTCCTAGGCCTGCTACCTTCTGTGAGCAATGAAACTGTACTTTGTCTCACCACGTATAGGTGCACTGTGGGCCATTTATGAGAAAGAACTTTGTAAACTGTAAAGTGATTTACCAATGTAAAGCAGGATTATTAACCTCACTTTAAAATGCTACCTTATCACCTGGAAAATGTAACATGGCTCCAGAGAATAATTAAAACAATGAAAAAAGTCTAGTTTCTATAATACCTCTTCCCTAATAATGCAAAGAATCCTATCAAAGCAATTCTGGTAGGTTTTAAAATTCAGTTCTGAAAATTTTGTGCAATTCAAAAGAGTTGTATATAGTGTTTTCCTGGTTGAGCAGAGAATATATGCATCCATACGATTTTTTTTTAACTCAATCTGAAATTTTGTGTTGACAATGGATAAGGCATGTGTTTTCCAGCATTGATAACGCAGAGCAAAACAAACTTAAATGAGAATTACTTTAGCATTTTAAAATTACATCCCAAGTGATCCAAGCTTGAAATGTCTTACCCAAATATTATGTGTTTAAATGCATGCATTCATTGAGTTAAAATATACTGTATAAACTTTAACATATTATCCAGTTGAAATCGCCCATTTCATAGAAAATAGAGCTGAGGCCCAGAGAACCTAAGTTATTTGCTTGAGGTCATTCAACTAGTTAGTAGCAGAGTCAGACCCTGAATTCAGATCTCTTCTCTTTCACTGTAGGGGTTTTCCTACCACAGTAACCTCTGATGTTCAAGTACTTTTACAAGAAGAGATAACTGAAATTAAATTCTTGTTCTCTTCTATAATTTTGTGTAGGTGTAACATTTATGCTGTCTTTATTTTTTTCCCTTAAAATTGCATGTATATCTAAATATTTGTGTTGATGTGGTTGTGAAGTCCAAGTAAGATAGATAACCTGAGAGTCTTTTTTAGACTTTTCATTTGAGCATGATCGTGAAAATTAATTCTAGATGTTAGGGAATGACAATGGGCAGCTAGAGGCCTGCTTTTTTTTTTTTTTTTTTTGAAGATAGCTAAATGTAGAATATATTTCAAATTACTACATTTGTTGTCTATGTCTTGAAGCATCCACAAATCCCATTCTTCTTGATGGTGTTGAGTCTCTGAAGGTTCAGGGTTGATCAGCCATGAAACTGTGACCTAATGTAAACTTGCTAAGACATAGAATAATAATATACTTCCCCTGAGGGTAAAACACTCAACTCTAGATTTTTCTCTTTTATCCTTGCTCAGACTACAATCATATTTCTTTGTTAGTATTTCCTCTCTGCATTGTGGAACAATTGACATTGATAGATAGCATGGAGAAACTGAATTCAAAAAGAAAATAAAATAAAAAGCTTTTCTACTGTTGGCTCAAAAATAATGTGTGTGGAAAGCTCTCTTGCTGCCCTCTCTATTCATTTTTTTTTTTTCTTCTGAACTGCAGCTGCTGACAGCAGACACACTGAACTATAATTTGGCCACATTTGGCTCATGTAAATTGTGATAAACAGTGAGCCCATAATATTTATTTTAAAGATTCATTCAGTGAAGTTAAGCATTCTTGACTTGTGTATACATGCTAGTAAATGGAAAACTGCAGATGTAAAGATCAGCTCTTAATTTCATGCCACACAATTAATACGGCTGCTTGATGCTCTATTCTTCACAGGTGCTGGGGTGTTGGAACCCTTTGAAGAAGTGTGTAGCTAATAGCCCATATATAATTCAGAAGACGAACTCTTCAATGGAAGACCCCCGGGGGATAAATGGACAGTCTGTAAGTAAACAGAATGTCAGTCCTTAGGAAAGAGTTATTACTTTTAAAATCGTAATTACTGTTTTTGTTGTAATCTGAGTGTCTGGAAATTCCTCAAAAATCTGTACCAGTTTTTAATGATTTTAAACTTATGAATTAAGTAGTACACTATTTCATCAGTCTAACCTAATATATATCTTTCTTTGAGGTATCAGTTATCAAAAGTAGAATTTTAGAGGACAAAGCCAACCTGTAGTATCACTTAATTATACTAATATGCATAACGTCATTTTTAGGCTCACATTTTCCTTTACCTCAGAGAAAACATATATTTGTCTCATAAAACTTTAAATGAATACCTGAATTTTGAATTATTAGGTATACATTTGTTTTATGAATAAACATGTGTGCATGTGTATGTATATCTGTAAAATGTGTGTTTAGTGTGTCAGTTTCATAGTTTGATGAACTCTTCAGTGGACTTTAATTAAGGAGAACCTTAATTTTATCTTGTGAGCAAAAGAGAAAGGTTCAGAAATCTTCAGGTTTACATTGAAACAAAAAAAAAATGCTTTTGTCTCATAAATACAGATTCCCAACTAGAACTAATCTTATAGGGGCCTCTCTGATGGCCTAAGGTTAGTCTTAGTGTTATCACCGATATGGCCTGAGGTTGAGCCCCAGCCAGGGAGCTAACCCATGTGGCGCAGCAGACCTCTCCTGTCTCACCAACTGCTCCCCTCAGCAGTGTATTTCAGTGGATCTGCTGGCTGTGCTCCCCATTCTGTCTCTGGTGAATCCTCTCACCACCCCACACCTCTGGCCAACACCTCATTTCTTCTACACATAAATAAATAAATTTTTTTTAAAAAGTAATCATAAATAACTTTTGAATTAACTTGAATACACTGGAGAGCTATTTAGAACTTACTGAATAATAATATTAATTTTTAGAAAAGCATATTTCAGCAACTTGAAGTTGTTTTCTTGGCAAATTTCCACAGCAGTTTGGGGTGTGACTTTGCCCTTTAAGCTCTCTGATCAGATAGGATGCTTTTAGACCTGTGGTTTCATCACTCAGCTTCATTCACAATAGAATTATTTCCAACCCAAAGTGCAATCTTTAGTAATGCTGTTGTGGTTCCTGTAAATGTGTGTTTTACAAGGCCTATTGGTGTTATGCAGTAAGCAGTAACTGCTAATGGATAAGGATTTTAATAACAAAGGTTCCAGTGCTACCAAGGTACTTTAGTAGTCTGACTATATGCAATTACAACATGTATTTTATGGATCTCCTAACTCATCTTGTGAGGTAATTCACATCAAGCATTTTGAGATGATTCTGCGTGGGGTTGCTTCTAGCCTTGACAGAAAAAGCACCCTTAACCTAATTCATTTGTTTGTTATTTGAAACTCCTTTTAGGGGTCAGTGATAGTTGACTTTAGTATTATGTTAAAAATATTTTTTGTAGTGCTTACAAAATAGGTGAAAAATAAGTTCACTACTTACTACTTATTGTTCCTATGTACCTTTGCTCCTTAGACTGAGGTTGGTTGATGTGCTGAAGAATCACTAACACATTGAACAGTATCTGCTAATACACATTGCTGATAATATTTCTTTTGGTATTTTATATTATGCAAATTATAATTTAAGTAAAGTTAAGAATTTGACTAAAATTTGAGGCTAATATAAAAGAATAAGAATATAATGATTGAAAAATTTTTACAAACAAGAAGTTGTGTTTAGTGGGCAACCTCTTTATATATCATCATGAGCTTTTGGTTTGTTTATAATATGAAGCAGTTTTATTTTTGAAACATATCTGACTATCTCCAAAGTACTGGGGGAGGGATGTTTCTCAAGGGCAAACACTGTATGGCCTGGAGGAAGCCATTTCCTGACAATGTGACTCCAGCACACTAACTTGGAAGCATTTGTAGGCTTTTTCAGAGGCCCCTGTGCTGAGGCCTTGGGTGGGCACCTCCCGGCTCACTGCCTTTGGTTCTCAGGTTTCACCTTTTCCTTAAGAAGGTGGGGAAACAGGCTGAATATGGGAAGCTAAAAAACATTAAAGTGATTCAGCAAAATAAAATTTGAAAGTTGACCTGGAGCAGTCTTAGAAGCACTCATACTTCAATCATGAATTGAACTATCCCATTCTCCTCACATTCTTCTTTCAAAAGTTTTTCTTAGAAAATGTCTCATCCACAGTAAACACAGAGTATGTTGTACTCCCTCACGCCTACTTCAACATTATCAATATTCTGCTATTTTCATTTCATCTTCATTCACTCTCCATACCACCTTGAAAGATTATTATTTTTAACATGTTTTAAAAAGTTCACATGTATGGAGAGGCACAAATATTAATTATGCAGTTTTTAAAAATGGATATGACCACGTCCTATTACAAATTAGAAGCTTTCCCTCTTTCCAGAAAGTTCATTTGCATCTCTTCTTACTCAGTATCTCTCCAATACTCTCCCTTTACCCTGAGACAACCACTATTCCAATAGTTTTTACCTTTGATCAATTTTACCTGTTATGAAGATCCATATAAACTGAACCCTCACATAATGTTTGTTTCTGCCTTCTTTCATTTATTAGTATGTTGTTGAGATTCATCAAATTATTGCATGGACCAGTATTCATTCTTTTTTATTGTTGAGTAAAATTTCTTAGAACACATTCTTTTAAAAAGTATTGCACAGGGCCTTGAGCGCAGTGCTGTGAAGCTGTCCACAGCCTCTGCAGCGCCAGTTCCATCCAGGCCAGTCGGCGAGGGTCCCATATGGCGAAGCAGACCTCCCCTGTCTTGCCCGCTGCTCCCCTCAGCAGTGTATTTTGTCAGTCTGCCTGTTCTGTTCCCTGCTCTGTCTCTGGTGAATCCTCTTACCCTCCCGCGCATCTGGCCTGTACCCCGATTCTTGTATAAATAAATAAATCTAAAAATAAAAAGTATTGCACAAATTCACATTTCTTTGGAAACCTCAATTTCTGTATCTGTTAAGTGAGGAGACTGAAATCCATATAACCTAATGTCTTTTTCAACCTTATCATTTTTTTTTAAAGATTTATTTATTTATTTATACAAGCACTGGGTACAGTCAGAAGCGCGGGAGGGTGAGAGAATTCACCAGAGCCAGAGCCGGGAGCAGAGCACAGAGCAAAGTACACTGCTGAGGGGAGCAGCGGGCGGCAGGAGAGGTCTGCGCACCATGTGGGACCCTCCTCCTGTGGCTGGGGAGCAGCCGGGGATCGAACCAGCACTGCAGAGGCTGCGGGCAGCTTCACAAACCAGCATCAACTGCTGCGCCACCGGGAAGGCCCCAACCTTATCATTTTTTTAACTTACTTTTTTCCCTTTGCTCATAGACTTATATTTTTTAATAGGCCATTCTAGATTGTGACTCTTTTAGTAAGTTAATACATGCTTCTCTAAGCATATTCTTTGTATGAGTAGGACCCTCAGTTTCTTCATCATTATAAAACAAAGGGTTTTTTTTTTAAAGGTTTTTCATAAAACTATATGATATATTTGTAATTTTTAATATATACTATTATCAGAATACTATTTTGAATTTCCCATTGCCTTTGTAAACAGTGATTTCTTCTCAGGTCTTAATTTTTCTTTACTTCATAGAATATATATGACAAGAGGAAAGACGAGGTACTGAATCTCTTCATTTCTTCCTTTTAGCCCAGCCATCTGAGCTGGAAAGGGCGCTGTGCCGTGAGTGTTCTTTTAGCCACATGACAGCTGGGGGCCCAAAAAGTCTCTGTGTGGGAGAGTCTGAAAGGAACTCCACTGAAATCTCAGTGGTCAGGGAGGGTGGTAGTGAGGGAGGACTTTAGACAAAGTGCTCCTTCACATTTAATCTTAGTGCTACCAGCCATTGTGAGATTTGCAGCTGAAAGTTTTGAGTTGACACTTGACACTTATAGATTAAAGACCAAAAGCATATTTCTATAATGTCAGCCCTTGACCATACTGGTTCTTTGAAAGTGTGTTTATCATGTGACAAGAGACCATGCATAGAGGTGAAGTGACTTTTCATGTTGATTCTAAGTAGAAATAGCATTGGGTAGAATTGTTAAGTCAGAAATTCCATCTCTGGAATTTCTCTGGAATATTCTGATTGTGTGTTTTCCATGGCTAAAAAGTAGCTCACGTGACTTTGTAAGTTTGGCCCACTATTCAGATAGCCTCATGAGGACAAAAATGGAGAGGAGGGTTGTCAGCTCTGTATCCTTTCTGTCATAATTCTGGCACCCTTGTCTCCTCTTGAGGAGACCCTGTTTTGACGAGCACAGCTCCTTCTCTCCTTTCTCTCTCAGTGCCATGGTTTGCTCTCTCCAAGGAAAACACCTTTGAAACAAACATCAAAGAACCAAATTATGGCTGCAAGTTTCAGTGTTTTTAGTTTATGAGGCTTTTTAGGAGGAAATCATGTCAAGATAAGAAAGCATTGACTAGTTCATTGCAAAAATAGGTGAATTTAAAAAATAAATCATTCTACTTTTCCTTATGAAACAGTGAGGCCTGCAGGCAAAAATCCACCCTGTGATAACCTATACCTTGTATCAGAATTAGATAGACATAATACTATATTGAAAGCTGCATTTTAGATGCAAAATTACAAGATCTGGCCTTTAATTTTTACTAGTTTGCATGATATAGGACAGATTTCTAAGCATCATTCTCTTCAAGTGTTAAATAGAGAGGATAATATTTACCTTCTCATTTAAAATTACAATTGTGTAGGTCAAATGGAATCTTGTTTTTAAAAGTTCTTTGAAAACTGAAAAGTATGGTATAACTCTTATGCTCATAACCTTTATTGGAGATACCTCTAGAAAAATGTGGTCACAGATTAAAAAAAACAACCAATTGCAAGTCTACAATAAAATTTTAAAATGCAGCCATCATATATGTGCTAAATAGTGACATTGTATGGATTTGGCCATGATCTCAGTTGTGGGGAGAATCAGGTCTCCTGAGACTCTAAAAGGAACA